GTTATATGATTATAATTTTTAAAGTTTTTTTATGTTCTTTTAAAAAATCTTTTTTCTTAATAGGAGTGTATATCAGTAAAACCACATATATTCGTCAAGGGGAACAGTCTCTTGATGGCTTCTATAGAGCCTGGCACCAAGTGGAATATTACAGGTACAACTGTAGTAAACTGAGTGAGTGGAAAATTCTCTCTCTCCAAGTAATTAGTTCATTAGTTATATGGACGTCTGTTCTTTGTTGCTTTTGATTTAATCACAAAATGATCCTCAGTGTTTCTATCCATTATTACAACATAGGAATTGCACTCAAAAAACCGATTGGTTAATATAAATTATATAATTCCTTCTAGCCTCTATATTTTAGAGCTCTCTTTGTCTTTTGGGAATACGCATTTGCCTTTTCAAACAGCTTGGGCTTTTATTCATTTTTATTGTTTACCAAATATTACTGTCATTGAAAACTAAGTAGATACATGTTAACCACTGTATTATTTTAGGATCTCACTTTTGTTTGACATTAGTGCTATAGGAAAAACACAGAACTGTAACGAAGCAACATTTGATCTAACTTTTACTCAGTGAGTGAAACTTAAGTTCACCAGTTCCCCCTAAGGAAGATGATAAAATGTCTTCAGTTTGTTGTTGCTGGACTAACAGGTTGTCAGTCACATTTGTTTGAATGATGTCTTATCAGTTCTTTGGCTCATGGTATTTCAGTTTGGGTTTCATAGCTGCGAATAGGTTTAGGTGCTGATAAATACGGACATGTTTTATACTTTGTGCGTGTGCGTGGTGTGTTTTGGTGTTTTTTGTCTTTTTACATAGGTACATAAGATTCTTTCCTGATGGCAGTGTGATGATGTTGACAACCCCTGAGGAGCCTCAGTCGATTGTTCCTCGCTTAAGAACTAGGAATACCAGGTAGTGTTTTTCTGTGGCTTTCTGTCTAGTCCACATTTTATATGGTTATTTGTGGGTTAATGTAACCTGGTGCCTCTTTGACTAATACTAGATGATTTATAAAGCAATCATTTGGGGGCACTTGTGAAAAATACCAATTCCTGGGCTTCTTCCTAGAGAATGTACTTCACGGGCTAAGTCTTATGGGGCCTTGAAATCAAGGCTAACTCACATCCTGGCTGATTCTTTTCAGGCAAGTTTAGTAAACACTGTTGTAATTCATTGCTTCCTAGACTTAAAGTGTTTTTTTTTATCTTTTAGAACTGATGCAATTCTACTGGGTCATTATCGCTTGTCACAAGATACAGACAATCAGACCAAAGTATTTGCTGTAATAACTAAGAAAAAAGAAGAAGTGAGTATGCAAGTGGAATTAACAGTTTTCTTCTTATTTCAATACCCTGTTCCTGCAAGCATTCTTAATTAGAAAGAGTAAACGAATGATGTTTCATTACTTATATTATTGTACAAAGTGTATGTTGACTTCTAGTATATCACTGAAGAGAGCTGGAGAGTTTTCTGAGATGTGGTTATTTTTTATCGTATCAGCTTTTGTTTTTCTTCATATGGTTTCCTTTTCTGGTCCAATGTTTTTACATATGAAAATGTGAAGCCACAATCTTGTGTGAAATAACTATTATACCTGAGTGTAATTTTTGGCTTTTCTCATTTTGAGTCATGGGGTTTTTTCCTTCCTAATTTAGCTCATATAGATAATTCTTCCACAAGGATGTTCTTAGAACTTCAGTTTCTATTGGAAATAAGTGAAAGAAAGATAATTTCCTTCTTCCTGTTCTTGCAAAAGAAAAAATGCCAGGCAAATATGATTATTGATGCCATTACATACTAGAGTGCTTTAAATTCTCTTAACAAATTGAGGGCCTAATTTTTTTCACAACCTTTCTTCATATGCACTTTTTAAATCCTGGTTGAAAACTATAATATTAATATATAACCAAGAAGTCAGTTGTGAGGTAGTTGGAATACTTGCCTATTACCTTTTATAATTAATAGTTTTTTGAAAGAAAGTTCTCTTATACGAAATCCCCACCTCTTCTTTAACATCATGTACCAAGATGGTTAGGGCAGGGTTTCATCTGTGAGTCCTATCACCTGTGGCCACCTGTTGCTGGCTGCTTCACCTCCCTCTGGTAGGCTCATGGAGGCTAGGGCAGCAATCTGAGAGGCAGACATAGTTGCTTTGACTGTGAATTTCCTGAGGTCAAAATTGGGGAATTGTGAGGCCCTGGTTGCTTAGGTTTTATCTAATAAAAAGAGTTGAGCAATTCCCATGTAGAGTGTCTTTTTTCTTCAGAATATAATATAAAGAAACCATTCATAGCATTTACATTTTTGTGTTTTAACAGCAGTATTTACAGAAATGTGATTCTAATGAACTTTGTCACAGCTGTTTTTCCACTGACTATTTTACTGTTACTGTGAAAGATAAGTCATACTCTGTGCTTTTTCTGCAGCCTTGATCAGTTTATTACTTTGTCTTTCAAAAAAATTCCAAGTATTTTCTAGTAGAAGGAAATACTAGGCTTAGAGGTAGGAGACATTTCTGAAACTACTGTGTAACTTTGGTTAACTCATTTGATGTCCTTGGATCTTCATATCTTGAGTTAGTAAATAGAAATAATGCAGTCATTGTTGGGGTTATTGTGATGATTAAGATGATGACGGGGAAAAACTTGATGTTTTTAGAGTATTTAACATTTTTCAAGGCACTCATGTACATTCTCGTGATATTCAATACAACTCTTTACTGCGTGCAAGTGTTGTTACTTTTAATGTTGCTTTTACATAATGTTTTTTATAAACATTTACATAAAAGTGAAATAAGGTTTCATTATAGCTCATGTACCTTTTCTTTTGCAGAAACCACTTGACTACAAATACAGATATTTTCGTCGTGTCCCTGTACAAGAAGCAGATCAGAGTTTTCATGTGGGGCTACACCTATGTTCCAGTGGTCACCAGAGGTTCAACAAACTCATCTGGATACATCATTCTTGTCACATTACTTACAAGTAGGTGAATCAATAAAAATACCAAGGTTAATAGCATAAATGTATACTTTATATCCAGCTTAGGAAACTCAGATATGTTTGAATGTCTCAGAGTTAACATTACATTATAAAGCAAAATCACCATATAATACTACTACAAACCAAGAAAAAGACCAAAACGAAAAAGAGTAAGCATGGCTGAGGACGTAGAGCATCCAGATGGTCACACAGTGCCCATGGGAGTGTGAATTGGTTGCACCACTTTGGAAATGAAAGTAGCATTCCATGAGTAGATGATACTTAGCTATCTATGCATTACTTATTCAAGGCAATTTTTAAAAACCAGATCATTTTTTTCCCCCACAATTCAGTCTTACCATTTTTTGCTTTATTTCCATTTGGTTTCTCTTCAGGGATTATGCACTGTTTTTATTAAAATTATAGTTAGAAAAAGTTACAGTTATGCTGTTGATCCTGTAAATATTTTATGTCATTAAATTCTATTCTAGGAATATAATTCTTTCTGAAACATAACATTTTAACAAGAGCCTTAAAATGTCTACAGCCTTTGACTTAGAAATTCTACTCTTAGGAACTTGTTTCAAGGACATAATCAAAATCACATTATTTTTAATTGCAAAATATTAGAAACAACCTAAATCTCTGAAAGGGAGATTATTAAGTAAATTATGGTATAAGCAGACAATGAAATACTATGCCACCACTAAAAATGGTTTCTAAAAAATATTTAATGATGTGAGGAATTGCATATGCCATAATGTTAAATGAAAAAAAGCAAAACTGGCCAGGTGTGGTGGCTCACGCCTATAATCCTAACACTCTGGGAGGCCAAGGCCGGAGGATCACCTTGAGCACAGGGGTTTGAGACTAGCCTGAGCAAGAGCGAGATCCTGTCTCTACTAAAAATAATAGAAAAAAAAAAAGTTAGCCAAGCAACTAAAAATAACAAAATTAAGTGAGCGCACATACCTGTAGTCCCAGCTACTTGGGAGGCTGAGGCAGGAGGATTGCTTGAGCCCAGGAGTTTGAGATTGCCATGAAGTAGGCTGATGCCACGGCACTCTAGCCCAGGAAACAGAGTGAGACTGTCTCAGAAAAATAATAATAAAATAAAAAAAGAGAGAAAAAAAGCAGAATTACTAATAAGAGTATGATCTTAAGAAAACCTAGAGTAAAGTACTTCATATGGTTCTATCTGGGTGGTAGAATTATGCAAAACTTTATACTTTTCTAAATTTTTCATGTTTTCTACAATATGCCTATATTGTTTAGAATTTACCGAGATGGGCGCAGGGCAGGGGGCGGGCTGCAAAAAAAAAAAAAAAATAGAAAAAAATAAAAAATAGAATTTATCGAGATGAATTAAAAATAAAAAAGGCTAATAAAGCATCAAATGACCTCCCAAACACAAAAAGATTTTAAATGAGTTGAAATTTCCTCATGCTAGTAATTTTGTGCTTTCTTTCCAGATCAACTGGTGAGACTGCAGTCAGTGCTTTTGAGATCGACAAGATGTACACCCCCTTGTTCTTTGCCAGAGTGAGGAGCTACACAGCTTTCTCAGAAAGGCCTCTTTAGAGCCTCAAGTCCAGTCCTCTGTCACTGTTGCATGAATAAAAGTATATAGCGCAAAAGATCACCTAAGTTATAAATGTACATATATATATTGAATTGGAACTTATTTTAAATTGTTGGAGTTCTTTTAAGAAGAGTATAAATTGATTATTTTTTTTATTTAAAGGAATAGTTGATTCTTGGGGTGTTTTGTTTTGAAATTAAGAAGTTGAATTATAAGTTGTTTAAACATATTTATGTTGTGAAAAACCTTAATATGAGGTTTAAATCATGTCCTTTTTAAGCAGATTTATGAGATTTCTGTAACACAAGTTGTTTTCTGCCTGAGCATCCTAATATTTAAATGCGTCAGAGGAGAGCACCACTGGATAAGCATTTTATTTCCCGCATGACATATTGCCTTTGCACTAAAGGCTGAAAATGTGAAAACCTGTTCTGGATTTGATTGAAACTGTTTCATCAATAAAGATAATAAACATTTCTTTCAAGAAAATATATTTGGGTCGCTTTTTTTAAATGTGAGAATATTTAATAAAAACAGTCCTAGCATAGCCAGCAGAGGCTTAGGAATCATTGTCCCAAGCTGGGCACAGTGGCATGTACCTGTAGTCTCAGCTACTAGGGAGGCTGAGGTAGGAGGATCGCTTGAGCCCAAGAGTTTTGAGTCCAGCCTGGGCAACATAGTGAGACCCTGTCTCTTAAAACACCATTGCCTCATTTCATCATTGGTCTTTATATGTAGCCACAGACTATAGATCCCTATATTCTGACCCCATCTAGGCACCTTACACATATATGACATTAAGTGAGAACGAGTGAATCCCTCAGGACTGGAACTCTTCAACAAAATCAACCAACTGACTCGGTCGTCATTCTTCATAAAAGAGTAGTTGGAAGATCACATAAGCGCAAGCCTAATTCTTGTTTTGATAGGAAAGTTGGCAGAGAGCCAGCCACCTAGTACATTGTATGTTACCTTTTTATTTAAAGGAGTTGCCCTTTCCTAGTAACAGTCATATTAGTGTTTAATTTCACAGTTTGTGTGGTAGACCTCTACCAGATTCAAATTTGGTTTTGAGTCAAGTAGTCACGTACTTTCAGAAATCAACATCTACAGCCACTGTTGCTTTCATCTTCATTCATTCGAGTTCATGTTGACATTAAAAGACACTTTATAGGTTCCCATAATTCAGGATAGGTCTTTTAAAAAGTGAGTACATGTTATATTAAAGATGAAAACCACACATCCAGTGTGTGTACAGAAAGAAGAGTTCTTAATTCTGGCTGGTCTGAGTGCAGTGGTGTTTATCACTAATTGATCACAGTCAGTTACAGATTCCTTTGTTCCTTCTCCACTCCCACTGCTTCACTTGTCTAGCCTAAAAAAAAATATATAAGAGTTCTTAGGTTGGCCTTTTGCAGCAGTCTGAGAAATGATGTGTTTCTCGAGTTGGAAAAGGGAAAAAAGCAGCTTGCCTAATACAAGGCAGCTCTCCATGGTATGACTATTATTTTTGATGTACAAATTAATAGGACTTGATTAGGACATAATCAAATACAGTTAGAAAAATGTATTTCTAAGGAAAGTAGAATTTTGGGAGTCTTACTGTTTTGCCACTGATCCTTGGATTTGATGATCTGTTGCAGAAAGTCAGTGGATACCAAATTCAAACTTAAGGAATTCTTTGCAAGCACTAAAGCAACTTTCCCTTATTTAGCTTGGAGCTGCAAATAGTAATTTTTCCTAGATTATATTTTCTGTACATTGAAAATAATTGTTTTTTAAAAATACAAAAGCAATAAACAAATGAGACCTGATCAAATTTAAAAGCTTCTGCACAGCCAAGGAAACTATCATTAGAGTGAACAGACAACCTACAGAATGGGAGAAAATACTTGCTTTCTACCTATCCGATAAAGGGCTGATAACAAGAATCTATACAGAAGTTAAGAAAATCAAGAAAAAATCACACAACCCCTTCAATAAATGGGCAAAGAGCATGAACAGAAACTTTTTAAAAGAGGACAGACTAATGGCCAGCAAACGTATAAAAAAGTGCTCAACATCTCTAATGATAAGGGAAATGCAAATCCAAACTGCAATGAGATAATCACCTGACTCCAGTGAGAATGGCCTCTATCAAAACGTCCCAAAATAACAAATGCTGGTGTGGATGTGGAGAGATTGGACACTCTTAAACTGCTGGTGGGACTGCAAATTTGTACAACCCCTGTGGAAAGTAATGTGGAGATACCTCAAAGAGCTAAAAATAGAAATACCATTTGATCCAGCAATCCCACTACTAGGCATCTATACAAAAGAAAAAAAGACATTCTATAATAAAGACATCTACACTCGAATGTTTATAGCAGCACAATTCACTATTGCAAAGATGTGGAAACAACCCAAATGCCCATCAATGCATGAGTGGATTAATAAAATGTGATATATGTATACCAGGGAATACTGCTCAACTATAAAAGAACGATGGTGACCTAGCACTTCTTATATTATCCTGGGTAGAGATTGAGCCCATCCTTCGAAGTGAGGTATCACAAGGATGGAAAAACATGCACCACATGTACTCGTCACCAAACTGGTACCAACTGATCAACACTAAGGTGTTCACATGGTAGTAATACTCATCGGGTGCCAGTCAGGTGGAAGAGGGTTGGGGGGTAAACCCACAGCTAATGGAAACGGGGCGCACTGTATGAGGGAAGGACGTGCTTGTAGCCCTGGCGTGGGCAAGGCAAACACATTTCATGTAACTGAAATGTTTGTACCCCCATAATATTCTGAATTAAAAAAAATAAATACAAAAGCAATATACATTTATTGTGAGAATATTAGAATATACAAAGAATAAAAAAATAAATAATCCTAAAACCCAAAGATAACTAACCAGAAGGAAATTTTTGCTGTGTAACCTTTTTCTCTTATTCTCTGCAAATCCTACCTTAGAAGTTTATAACTTCAGGACATGTCCTTTCTCTATTTGGACATTACAGAAACCGTTACTGTGGAAAGCTGACAGCAGTATCTGGATTAACTCTTAAAAACCAACAATAGCATTTCCCAGAAATTTCATTCATATCCTGCTTGAACAGCCTGTGTACTTAGAGGGAATCTGGCCTAAGCACCAACATATTGAATCACCTCCTCTTCCTCTTGCTTTTTCTTCCCAGCCCCCTTCCTACACCTTAGCAGAGGGCAAGGTAGACATGCTTGGGGCCCTTGGGGGATGGGGGTGTAGGCTTGAATTCTCTATCCAGGGCAAAGCATCAGCCTTGAATCCTCTCTCTCTGGCTCTGTAGTAACCACTCTCAACCTTATGGTATTTATCTTTTGACTATTCCATTCATCTATTAAAAATGGGATTATATTGTACATAATGCTTTGTAAGCTTTCTTTCCCCACGGAATAATGCTGTGTGAGCATTTCATTAAGTATTTTAATGGCTTTATAGTCCAACTTTAAGCTCCTCTTTACACACTTTGGTTTTCTAATTTAATGCTAGTATAAACATTTTGCAATGAATGTTCCTGTGGCTAAATCTTTCCATACATCTTGAATTATTTCCTTAGGACATTTCCAAGAAGAATTGCTGAACCAAAGGGTGAATGTTTTTAAATATCTTAAACATTTTTGGTAAATAACATATGTAATATCGAAGAACTAGAAAATAGATGAGCGGGGCCGGGCGCGGTGGCTCACGCCTGTAATCCTAGCACTCTGGGAGGCCGAGGCGGGCGGATTGTTTGAGCTCAGGAGTTGGAGACCAGCCTGAGCAAGAGCGAGACCCCGTCTCTACCAAAAATAGAAAGAAATTAATTGGGCAGCTAAAAATATATAGAAAAAAATTAGCTGGGCATGGTGGAGCATGCCTGTAGTCCCAGCTACTTGGGAGGCTGAGGCAGAAGGATCGCTTGAGCCCAGGAGTGTGAGGTTCCTGTGAGCTAGGCTGATGCCATGGCACTCACTCTAGCCAGGGCAACAAAGTGAGACTCTGTCTCAAAAAAAAAAAAAAAAAGAAAATAGATGAGCGGAAAAAAGAAAATATAGATCAACTGTAGTCACTTCACCCCAAAAAATCCACTATTCACTTTTTGGTGTTAATATTTCTGCCCTTTCACATATATGTGTAGTTTTTCACTCACAGTGAAATACTTGCAGTTCTGTCTCCTTTATCTGATGCTTTCATGCTCTGGATCTTAACACCTGACCAATCATGTCCCCAGTGAGGGACGCTGAGTGTCAGCAACAGCGCCAGGAAATTTGGCAACTAACTGTGACATATATGGGCTAAGACTCCCTGTGGCTTCTCTGACTGTAGAGCATCTAACTAGAGTCAAAGTAGAAACAAGCCAGGAGGCCGGCATGGTGACTCGTGCTTACAATCCTAACGCTTTGGGAGGCCAAGCTGGGAGCATCGCTCGAGGCCAAGAGTTCAAGACCAGCTTGAACAACATGATGAGACCCCCATCTTACCCATCCCCCAGAAAAGCCAGGGCAATGTGGTGGGATCCCAGTCTCACAATGACCATCCGTCAGTCACTGTGACCCCTCGTAACAGCCATCTACAACCAAAAAGTGATTTCAATCTTTGGTTCTGCATGGCAAACAAAACTTGCACATTTATCTCCACTCTCTGCTGAAACCTGACTAAAATGGCAGTAAAGAAATAAACAAGGCTTAAGTCCTCCAAGACAAAGAGCAGGAGAGGCACTGACAGTAGACAAGAGAGGTTCTGTTTGGAAAGCAGAAAGCTGATGGGCAAGTGACACAGTGGTTTTGAGCATTGAGTCTGGGTTGAAGTGCTGGATGCATGACTTAGTGACTTTGAGCAAGTTACTTAACCTCTCCATGTCACAACAATAAATTGGAGGAAATAATAGTACCTGCCCACACAGTTGAGAGGAGTAACAGGTACACTCCATGTTAATTGCTTAGGACAATGCCTGATCAAGTTGGTGCTCGATAAATAGCAGCCATTATACGTATTACTACTGTTGCTGTTCCAGAGGGGCTTTGAGACCTCAGCCGGAAGCAGGGAAGCCAAAAACAGCAGACCGAGTCAACTGACCTTCAACTGAAGGTAAAGCAACCGCACAGAAACGGCAAGACCCTGCAGGAAGGTTCCCCAGCCAACCCCTAGAACTCGAATTGCCAGGCTAATGCCATCAGGCGGGAAAGTGGAGGCTTCTCTGGGAAAACACCCCCTCCCCAAAGAAAGACCTAAAAATACTGACACTTAGGAGTCTCAACAAAATAGATCCCCTCCCACACACATAATTTCTAGCCAACATCTTAGCAGCTCATTCTTGGCTAGCAACGGACAAGCAAGGAACACCTGGCACTTGGCAAGAACGTCTCTACCGTGGAAGACAGAATGAAACATATTAAATAAGCAGAGAAAAGGGATGCAAAGGAAATAGAAAAATGCAGGTAATGGAAGAAATTTTAAAAACATAACAAAATTATATATCTTCAG